CTGTTTGATGGGTACCGGCTTGGAAGTCCCGGTGACTGCAAATTGTTGGTTCCGTTCCCGGTTGCTTCTCTAGCCCGTTCCGAGTCTTTCGCCGTTCGTTTTCCTCGCGTGAGTTGCATTTTTCCCTACTGCATGCGTGGCATGTGTACGTGTTCGACAACAAATAAAACCCGGCTCCATTTACCTGTGCAATACACAATTGCTTTTATGCGTTTTTGCCTACATGCAAGTTGCAATAAATAGCAACGCGTACCAGACTAGCCGGTGCGATCATGCGTTCTGTGCAATTCAGCCCATCGAACGATTGCTTATTAATGATTTTCACTGCTTTTTACTTTAGTCTATGCAAAAATAGTTCAAACATAGGAAAACAGTTAAAAATTACACGCACTAGCGCATGAAAGCTGAATCCGAAAACTTGAGGAGTGAATATTTTTTCGTGATTTCCGAGTTAATAGTTTATCCGCCAAAATTTCCACAAGGCCGTAGGTGATACTCCCCATCCACATATAATTCAAAGGCTTCAGATTCAGCCCCCAGCTGCGCGTGATTCCCGCGTGCAGCCCGTGAAATTTTTTTGGCGAAAATTAGCTAACTCGGCAATTTGCAAAGCTGGAGGACTGAAATTTTCAAGTAATGTTCCTAGCATAAGTACAACATAAACCTATCAAATTCAGCGCCCAGGCATCTGCGGCTCTCATGTACAACTCCGTGAAATTTTTTGGCGGGAAAATGGCTAAGTCGGAGACTAGCAAAGCTGGGAGGCTGAAAATTTCAGGGGACTTTCCCAACCCATGTCGACTTAAAGTTATCAAATTCAGTCCCCAGTCGTATGTGGTTCTCACGAACGACCCCGTGAAACTTTTTTGGCGGGAAATTGTTAAATTGTTAAACCGCTAAACGGAAATTGTTTATTTCCCTTTATGCAAAAGTTACGATGATTTACGGTATTGAGCGCACAATGTAGGTGTGAAGAAACAATCGCTCATGCAGTTTACTTAATTACTTCAAGTTTGATGCAAAAACGCATGATCGCACCGGCTCGCCTGGTACGTTCCAGCCTGGGTTTCGTTGATGTAGTAGGAAACAATG